GGATTTCGACTTCTTCGAGTTGAGCCATTGCAGGCACTTGGTTTCGTCGATCGAGGCTTTGTTGCCTCTCTCGAATTTGTCCCTTGTTTCCCTGTCGTGCATGAAGAGATAAGTCGAACCAAAAAAAAATAATAAAAAAAAAATCAGTTCATAATTATGCAGCTACGCTACTTCCACTTGATCTGCAATAAATAACTGAAAATTGAATTTGTTAGTTTGCTTATGAGGACACTAGCTAGAAGTTTCTAGTTTAGTATGCTCCTACCAACTGTCAGAAGTCTATACTCACAAAACTATCCAAGTATGTAATAAGGGCTTATGGGGACTATTTAATAGCATCTCCATTGCATAAATATTGTTATTACATAATTTTGGCAAATGTCAATTAATTAGATGAATTGTGAACCACATAAGATAATTATTAGGTTCACAACTTTAATTCTAAAAAATTGACTCCAACGGACAATATAATCAAACACAATATTTTCCACTTGGCCAAAATAAAAACATTATAAATATGAAAGAACATGAATTAGATAATTAGATATTTTGAAAATGGTAATAATATTTCTCTATTTTCTCTCCATTGGTTGAGTAGAATGTCAATGAAAATGTGGATGAACCACATTCTTCTCTACATTGTAGACATTAATTATGTCCACTTTATCATAACATTTGTAATAACATTGTGCGTTGAAGGATTAAAAGTTGATAAATTACTAAATATGCTAAAGTAGAGTGTAATTTACTACAACTACAAAAGACACCTTTGTTGTACCTGGATGCAATAGAAACAAATAATGAGACATAAATTCCAACTCTTAACAAAATAATGAAGGCTCAAATCCCAAATAAAATTTGATCACAAATAAAAAACGAATGACTAGAGTTGTAAACGAATCGAAGCGAATCCTCAACTATTTGATTTAGATTCATGAAAATATTCGACTATTCCATTCGTATTCGATTCGTCGTGGGTCAGAGGTTGTATTCGATTCAAGTGTATTAAATATATATCCTCATGGGATTATCAAAAATTGCAAATTAACCCTACAATCAATAATATTTAAGTAGCTAGCTAGGCTAGCTAACTGCCCATTTTTTGTTTTGGCTCAAAGTACCTGTTACATAGAGAAACCGGTCCAATGCACCACACTCTGTTATTCACCACCTTCCTGTACTCCTCCACGCAGCCCCCTTCAACCTCCTCGAAGCTATTCACGACGACCCCGTAAGCGCTCGACTCCGCCTCTGCCATCCTTCCCCTTATGTCGTCCAGCTCCGGCATCGCCACCAACGACCCCGGCAGCTGCGCCCTCGATATCCGCACCCCAACCGGCATCCCCGGTATCTCAAACGCCTCCGTCTCCGGCCTTTTCACCAGGTGGGCCCCGCTGACCCTCACGTTGTGCGACCCCAGCAGCGCGAAGCAGCTCATCCCGTGGAAAACGAGCCTCGGCACCCCGAACCTCCGGGCCGTTCGGGTTGTCCACGGCAGGCACCGGTCGGAGATCACGCAGCTCGGCGGCGGGTGGATGGCCTTGAGAAGTCGGGCCTCGAGTGGGGCTTCGAGAGAGTCGAGGGCCGCGTAGAATCGTCGGAGGAGGCCCGGGGAAGGGAGGGAGTCGAGGCTCTCGCAGCCCGTGGGGAGGTCACGGGAGGAGGGGAAGGGGATGACGAGGGTGCGGACGTCGAGGCCCGAGGCACGGGCCCGGAGGAAGGCATCGGAGAATCGGGCGGCGTTGAGTGGGGTGGTGACGAGGGTGGCGGTGGAGCCGTGGGCGGCGAGGAGCTTGGCGATGTCGATCATGGGGATGATGTGGCCTTGGGCGGGGAGTGGGACGAGGATGAAGTGGAGCTGCTCCGAGGAGGATGCTGGTGGTGCCATGGTGGCAATTCTATTTTCTTTTTTTTTTTTTC